AATCTAAAGAAACATCAGATTCTTCTCTAATTATTGTAACATCGCTCTGTTTACAGACAGACATTCCCCTTTGACATCACTTCCTGTTTTATTCACATGCAAAAATCTCAACAACTGTTCATCTCAACGGTGGGAAATTTCATTTGCAATATGTTATCAATGTTCTCTTTCCAAAAATGCATTCACATTTATTACAAAAATTTGATGTCACAGGCACTTTAATGCCAGTGTAAAAGTCTCAGAGCAATTGCCTTTAACACAGATAAAAATCCATTCAGTTTTCACCTATTTTAATAAATGTGATAATGAAAAGCACGTTGAACTGTTGTTTAGTGACAAGTCTTACATTTTAAAAAATATTTGTAAAAAAATGTTTGGCTGTTGTTTGCAGACCATTTCTAGTATTCAGTCTTATGTTATTGTGTTTATCCCTAATGTAGCCTAATGTTCCATCTTAAAATAATATTTCTCAAAAAAATATTTTTTTTTATGGCTGGTATTTAGCTTTTTTTAATCATATGTTTTTTTTATTTACCTGAAGACAGGTCACTATGGACTTTTCTAAGCACTTTTCTGTCTCTCTGGCAGTCTTTTCAGTCCAGCACAGAGGTGGACTCTCCCACAGTCGAGGACAGAAAGGAGAAAGGGAAGGAAGAACACGAGTCTGTCTCTGTCAGACATGCAGATGCCCCCCTGAAGAAAAGAGTTCCTGCCATTCCTGTAAGCACTTTTAATGTGCACATACACAACTTTGGCCACTAGGGGGCAATATTACTACAATAATACTATTATTACTACYAGTTGTATTTTTAGTTAATTAAAACACAAAAATAATTGTCTAGAAGCTGATAAAAGTTATAATAAAAATTATTATTTAATGTCATGAAAGGGAACTAGAATAATAATGCAAATTTGTGTCAAATCTCTGGTTTGTGTTAGGTACAAGAGAGTAAAGCACCACAATCTAAGCCCTCTGTCCTGTCCCCACCAAACTCTGGCCAGCGTTCCATTTCCCCATCCTCCTCCTCTGGTCTGACCCCCTCTCCAGAGCTTCGGCACTCACCATTGACGCCCCCGTCACTGGAGGAACTCAAGAGCCAATTAAGAGACTTGAGATCCGCCATAGACCTGTTAAAGACCCAGCACAAGTACAGTCTACGCACACACCCGTGTTTCTCTGTAACTTTTGTAAGCATGTGCACAAACCCAAACTTGTGTTGGTGTATTTCAGGCAGGAGATGAAGCAGCTGGCCAACGCGCTGGACGAAGAGAAGAAAATGAGACTAAGTTTACAGGTGAGACAATGAGCACTGGCATCAGTAGATGCAAAGTAAGTAAATAAATAAAGATCATGTGCATAAAAAGTGTTTCTGCCTTTGTTTTGCAGGTGGAAGTAGAGCACATAAAGAAGAACTTATCCAAATGAGGACTAAAGCATCCGTATCAGCTTGCTCTGATCACATCTGAGGCCACCAATTGAAAAAAAAAAACATTTATCACTGTTGGTTTGACACTTCAGCCGAAACTGTGTTTGTGCCAAATGACCATCATGATCAGCAATGGTTCACTTCCATGGAATCTGCCACCTTTCCCTGTATGCCGCCTTATCCTGTGTTTACTTCTTTTTTTTAAGAGGTTTTTCTGTTCAGTTTACTGCTATCTTATTGTGCCACTGGTACTGACTGACCGCGGCTTGACGCTGCGCGTTGTCGCGGTCACAGAAAAAGGATATGGAGCTTCGGCTGCCATAGTGACCTCATTGGTACTTTAAGTTTCTGATAGCAAAAAAAAAACAAAAAAAAAAACACCAACTTCTGTAGCCCGGTCGGATCAGATGACCTCTGTGATGTTCTGCGTCCACTTTGTGGCCTTCACCTTCTTTCTGTGTATGCATATGTGTGTGTGTGTGCGTGTGTGTGCGTGTGCGCTTGCTTTTCTATCATGTGAGGACCAAGAGTTGTGAAGGTTTAAAGTGGGGAGTTTGTTGAAAGACATCCATAGCTGCATTTCCACTTCAACAAAACGAGTGAGCGATAAACATGGTTTTAACCAGATGACCCAGAACTTGAATAAAGTTTAGGGGACACATGTTTCTCCCTGAAAAGTCCCTTCTTTGTTTGATGCCTAGCCTTTTTTATTTGTGCCATAATTTTTTTTTTACAAAATTTCTTTGGTTTTATTGTCGTTCTTTTTTATTATTGTGCAACATTAAATAGAAGAGGGACCAATGTTCAAGTGCTGGAATTATTATTATTATTATTATTATTATTATTATGTTTTAGCAAATAAAAATAACACAAAGCATAATATTTCCTCCATAAGTTTCTTGCAGATTTTAATATCTTCCTTAGAGCAGATAGGAGCAGATTTTAACAATTTTAAAATACAAATGACTACTTTAGATAAAGGCCTTTTACCTTCTGTCTTTTCTTTGTTGTTTATATCATCATTTTGCAAAGTTCATTTTATTTTTGCACAGCCTTACTTTTCTTATAGAAAATAATCATATCTGTCCTCTTGTGAAAGCTCTTTGAAATTCAAAAGCACATTTAAAAACTATTTACCTACAAGAAAATGTCCCAGTGACATATTGCTACAAGTTAGGGGGCACATGCACAAACACATCAGCTTTTATTTCTTTTGCACTTTTTATTTTAACTCTAGGAAAAAATAGAGCCCGTGCAAGTAGCATCCAATAACCAAACGAATCATTGAGCACCTTGTTTTGCCTTCAGATGAAGGGTAACTTTAACCACAGGGTTGATTGAATGTAAGTCAGTTACTGGTCCTCACAGGGCAGATGAAATGTGTATGTGCATATGTGTGAGTGTGTACAGCAGCATGAACAGTTTGTCTCTTTTCTCATATGTGCACAGAATCTATGACAACCCGTCACTGTGGCCTTCCTGTTTTGGATTCCAAATCTTGTTTTTTTTTTCCTTTCTTTTTTTCTTTCTGTCATTCCGGATGACAAAGAGAAAACTGCTACAACTGAGGCTACAAGTTGTTTTCTTGACTTGGTCCTTTCTCTCTGGAATAGTGATTGAAGAAATATATATATACAAAAATATATATACTTTTATATTTCAGTGTAATAAAGATGCTATTATGTACAGTATGTGTGTTTTTATTTGTATTTAAATAATTATCAGTTTTTAAACTGTAATGCCAGTACAAAGAACTTGTTGTATCTACCTACATAACAAAATTTGTCTGGCCCAGTTCTGGCCCACAAAGTGCACTAAATGCTCTAACAGTCGGCCCAGATGCCACAAAGAACGACAAATGACAAAGAACGTGGCTCAGATGTGGTTTGCCAAAAGTTGTCCATGCATGGGCCAGTACCACATGAACCAAACCACACCTGGGCCAGTTGTGGCATGCCATCTTTGCCAGACCTGACCCATTTCCAGCTGACAAGCCACTTGTCACCAGCAGTGCCAGCTTGACACCAGATATGGCCCACGCCTGTCTGCTGTGTGGGTATAGTCATGTTTGTTCTGCACAAAAGATCAACAAAATTGGGCTTTAACAGGTCATCAAGATTATTAAGAACCCAACTGAAGTTGGAACCAAAGAAAACCATGGCAGGGTTTCTTCAACTACAGTATTCTTTAAAGCAAAGTTTCTCAAACTGGGGTCTGCGAGAGATACCTTAGGGGTCCCCATACCCAAAAGTATGAGAACCCCTGCTTTAAAGCAAGGACAGAGAATAACTTCCAAACATTATAAAGCAGGTTGTGTGTCCCATTGCTTCAATAATAATAATAATAACTAGAATAGTTCCTGGAGAAACTATGAGAGGATTGCCAGCTGTGCAAAACTTGTCCTATGTTGCTATAAGGATTTGCTGTTTAAAATTTTTTTAGTGGCCATCCTAAATATGTATTAAGTCTGTGTTTGCGATTGAAGCAACTGCTTTAGCAAATTTTATCTTTAAAGGTCAAGAAATGACTGATTTATAAGTCATTTTGTGTGTTTTATGGCTAAATTTGTGCTTTGGTTCATGAAATATTTTGCTAACAGACATTTTGCTAAGATATTTTTGTCATTTGTAAGACCTGAATACTCTAATAAAGAGGATCAGTTGTTGTAAAGATCTTTCACACTTTGTTTCACACATTATATTCATTCAGCATATGTAAAATGTGCTGATGTCCAGCACTTATATGGTAATCCAGGGTTGCTTGGACAGCCACTTTGTATCTGAGTTGGACAAATGTGTTGGAKAGTGACAGAGGATTGTCCAGTGATGACTGTGTTAGAGTTTTATAAAGTTTAAAATCAGTGGTTCATGAGCTATTTCAAAAAGTGTTCAGGTTTTGAAGSCTTTGAGGCCTAACGCCATTCATTTACAATGGCATTTGTTGGGTGTCTTTGTGGGCCTACTGCGTCGCATGTGGTAACAGTGAAATATACAGTTGAGTAAGAACACAGTTCCCCTGGCCGAGTCGGTCGTTTTGACGCATAACTTGTGTGGGTGCATTCATGTTGAAAATATGTCCTTTCATTTGCATAGAGAAAAAGTGGCCGAAGTTCCTTCGGCTGCTATCTTGTTTTTGAAGTTTCCGCTCCAGTATGTGACAGAGGTTACTGTCAGCTACCAGTAAACCAAGTTTCAGCTCAATATATCAAACAGAGGCTGAGTGAAAGCCATTTGAAAATAGCTATGGCAGCCATCTTGGATTTTTATTTCAGCTACTATTTGTGATAGAACTTACTGGCAGCTACTTGTGTACAAAATATAGATATCTAAAGTGTTAGATATATAAATTGATATATAGATCAATATATGAGAAATTGGCTGGATTAGAGTAATTTGAACTTAGCTATGGCGGCCATCTTGTATTTATAATTCCGGCTACTATTTCTGATAGAACTGACGTTTAGCTACTAGTGGACCAAATTTTTGCTAATTAGGTTGAAAACTGGCTGAATGAAATTTGTTTGTAAAAACCTATGATATGTATCTGCCACAGGTAAGACACTGCCTAACCTACAGTTGGAGTGTAGACTGAGCTGCATATGGTTCTAAATGGCTGAATGAGAGGCTTTTTTTTTTTCAAAGCTAGCTTTAGCAATTAGCTTACACTTGTGAGAAGCATTCATATGTGTGGAGTTATCTCTCAGCTACCAAAGAAGTTTGATGGAGGTCTTTGTGTGTTTACTGTGTTTCCATGGTAACAAATGAAACCTATATAAAGTCATGTGTGACCTTTAACCTACATTGACTTTAACTCACTACAGCCTCAGCCGATCAGGAGGCTGGATTTCCAGCAGCAGCTCAGTTGCACTCAATGGGAGACCAAAATCTGCAGCTCKTCTGTCCGAAAACACAGAAATGATGTGTCCTTTCAAACAGCTGCTGTACAAAAAATACAAGGGCTATTGAAATAAATGGGAATTTGTTTGCCGTTTCTTCTTTAAAATTACAGAGCTCACACTCTAAGGTCACATGACCTAGAGTGTGAAGCTTCCCATGTAATCCGATGGGGATTTTTAGATTAGTTTTTTGGGTATTACGTCACCATGGTAACATATTATTTAAAGATAAATAATAGCACACCTCGTGAGATCGACGCCGATGCAATGATGTATTTTTCATGAGGCCGGGCCGCATTAACGGTAAAAGTTCTGGGATGAATGATAAATAAATAAAGAGTCCAGTTTAGAGGTGGATAATAATAGGTTGCCGTTGTTCATGGCGATCCTAATAATAAAAAAATCCATGCAGTGGAGAGAACATAATTTTAATTAATTTATTGCTTTATTGTCAAGCTGAAAGACTAAATCGTATGAGAGCTACCACCTTTAGCAATAAATATGTCTCAAGTTCAAACAAGAATAAGGAACAACCATAAAAAACGGAGCAAGCAGAGTTGTCAAATGCTCAGTCACCTGACACAAAAACTCCAAAATGTGATKTAWTTTTACTGAGTCAAATATTTCAGTGACAGAGTTTTCTCATGTCCGTCGTGTTTATAGATTTGTAGAGGAGGACATACAGTATTTATCGCCTCTTGAACAAGGAAAAAAATGGTTGTTTTAAATAGACAAATGAACCTTACATCATATTTTATAAGCTCAATAAATTTGATAAGGTCTTTCATGAGAAAATTTGACATGCTTTGATCATAATATCAACTGTGCCTTCACCTCACACACAAATTCCTCTTCCTCAGGACATTCTCTGACTTTCAGTCTCATCTGCCTCCATCCATGCTGGTAAAGAACAACACAGATGTCACATATTTTAAGGCCTGTATAGCTAAGAGAAAATTTTTGTGAAGTAGTGTCAAACAGGTGCTTCAGTGATTTCATACTGATACAAGTAGCTTCTAATAGTCAGGCGTGGGAGATTTCTYGAGCTGAAACAATGACATTTGGACTGCTTGGATGACATCTGTGTTCACTGTTTTGCAAAAGAGCGGRGAAAATGTGTCAATCCAATAAGAAATGGTTAACACATTTACAAGAAGTGGCTTCTGCTCTGTTGAAATAGTGATGATGAAAACTGAGTGAATCCCAGTTTCTTTACGCAGGTCAAAACAATCAAGAAAAACTGTGAAGATAATTTGAGGTTTTGTGTATGTAGCTTGAAAAAGTGTTTTGTGTTTAGAGTTTTGGGAAAATGGAGGAAGGTTACATAAAATGTGTTTCAGCAATAGTGAAACATTGTAACACAACCTTATGTGATGGAAAGAAAAACATGTTAATTTCAGTCAGGTCTCAACAATAAATTGACCAGCACTCAGTTAGCTGTTTTATTTTGGAATTCATGTTTTTTCTTTCCATTTAAGCCATAAAAATATAATTAATAATAGCTTTTTGAAACTATTTTGTTGAATATCATATGTTATATATGTAACACAAAAGTAAGGAATTTTGTCTTTGGTAAATTGTTTCTGCATTGTAACAGTGCTTCTTGGAAATAAATCTTTTATCGTGGGAAAGCTTGTTAGTTCCTCTTTTAAATGGTGCCCCATTTGTAAGGAACAATCATTTGTAGTATGAGCAGTAGTGTAGTAGTGGAAGTGTGTTGCACATATCAAATATTTGCCAAATCTTCTCTGCCAAACAGCTTATTTTACTTTTGCTATTGACACTTGTATTGAGCTTCTCGTACCCCCATGTGCTCCTAATCATGTGCACGGTACACGATTTATTGCCAAGAAGCATTGTTACAACAAAGAAATAATCTGCAAAARACAAARCTCCTTACTTTTTGTGCTAAGTTTATGGATATATAAATATACACCCAGTTCAACCTGAGCGGTTCCAGTTCACTTCAAYCTCTGGTCTTCTATCAGAGGACTGGGAGCGTGAAGGTTCTGGACAGTATAGCTGTTCCCAGGACTGTGTTCTTCTGGACAGAGATCTCTGAGGTTGTTTCTATAGGATCTGGTCGTGCCACTCATTTAAATCACACCAAGTGATCCAGTGATCACTGGGACTACTGATGCTTTGACTTTCCACAACTTCTGTATTTCCTCTTTCAGTATGGTATTTCTCAACCTTCTCATGCTCATTCTTCCCGATTTTACAGTTGCGTGGAATTGCTACATCTCCAGCATGTCGATTGCCGTGTCCGGACTCATTGGTTAGTCATCACCTTTTTGTAAGTTTGGGTCTGGAAGTCTTGGCTCTGCCGTTCTCTGCCACCCTTGGTGGCATCTTCCTCTTTGACTGTGGGATCTCCTGTGCATACTCAGCATGGATATTCCTTTGTACAAATAAAATAAATTTAACTTCCTTTTGTCTGGCCTTGCCCTCAAGAACCAATGAGCATGAAGCAGTTTACAACAGATGCTCACACAACACCACTCCTGCCGCAGATCAGATAAAACCAACAAAGTCGATCGCTGAGCTGCGGCKTAGGGTGTCCTGGTGCCAAGAGCATATATGGACACCCTTATGTTTGAACATGGTGTTCGTTATGGACAATTCATGACGAGCACAGAAGTCCAATAACAAAACACAGCTCGGGTTTAGGTCGGGGGGACCGTTCCTCCCAAACACGCCTCTCCAGGTCTCACTGTCATTACCCACATGAGTGTTGAAGTTCCCCAGCAGAACGAGGGAGTCCCCGTTAGGAGTGCTCTCCAGCACCCCCTCCAAGGATTCCAAAAGGGTGGGTAATCTGAACTGCTGTTAGGCGCATGGGCACAAAAAAAAACCAGTCAGGACCTGTCCCCCCACCCGTAGACGGAGGGAGGCTACCCTCTCGTTCACTGGAGCAGTGGTGGACAAAGTACTCAACTCTAGTACTTGAGTAAAAGTATTGATACTCATGGTCAAATCTACTCCACTACAAGTAAAAGTTACTCAGTCAAAAATCTACTCAAGTAAAAGTACTGAAGTACTTACTTTTGAAAATACTTAAGTATTCAGAAGTACATGCATTTTAAAGT